GCGGGGCCGCGTGCTCCGCCACCGCAGGCCCCGTGGGGGCCCCCCCCCCCCCCCCACCTTACTCCCACTTCCCCCATCCCTTGCGCTCACAGTTGACGGTGACTTTGACTTTCCGCACGTCTGGGACGGCCACGTCGTTGACGGCGCTGCACTCGTACTCCCCGGACTGCTCCCGCGTGATGCCCGTGATCTCCAGGTACTCATCCTCGCTCACAAAGCCCTGCCCTAGGAGACGTCCCGAACGCGTGGCACCGTCGCCCACAGACGCCAATGCCGGGACCTCCCCTGCGCCCCTGCCGTGCCCTCCTCCGCCACCCTCTGCCTGTGTGTCTGGCATCCCCTTCGCCCTAGAAGCTGGGGACATCACTCAACCAGCACCCTTGCCCCCGTACCAGGGCACGCCAAAGGGCCAGCACCTCCACCCTCCGCAACAGTCACCAGTGGACCGCAGGCGGCCTTCGGGCACCTCTACGAGGACATCTGTCCATCCCAGGTGGGCCAGGCGAGACCCCTCCTCAGACCCAGGCGGCTCCTCCACCGAGCGCAGTCTCACCTTTCCCGGAGAGGTGCCGCCACGTGACGGTGGGCTCCGGTCTCCCAAAGGCCAGGCACATAAGGGTCACGCTGCTGCCCTCATTCACGGTGATGTCCGACGAGATGTTGACGATCTGGGGGGGGACTGCAAGACACAAAGAAAAGCAGAGCCACCGTCAACGCGCCAGCCCACAGGGCCCCATCACCGGACGTCGGCAACCATCCTGTCGCCGATGCCGCATCCCCAAAGCCGCATCTCGGACCGGAGCTGAGCACGGACCTTGGGCACCAAGGGGTCTGCTCACCGGTGCCCTGCACTGGGTGGGGGCCAGAAACACCGGCACCCCCCTGCCACAGCTGAGACCCTGCTAACTGGCTCTCATTACAGCCCGCGACGAGGCTCCTATTTGAGTATATTTACTAAAGCTGTTTAAATTACCAAGCGTCGGCTCCATTCGATACCAGCCACAGTGATTTATATTACTTGGTCCCCAGATACTCCATCTAATAAATAACTTGGCAATCTCCACACCCATAAATACCACCAGCCCTGCCAAAAAGCAATTAAAGCCCGCTCGCCAGCGCCACTTCCCAGCGCTCTGGGACAGCCCACGTGGTCCCCAAAAGGGTCTGCACCCCGGGGAGCGAACGAGGCCATACCAAACGACCCGCCCAAATCTAAATACTGCTCTTACCGTACCAGAAAGGATGCCCCGGCACAGAAGAGGCGGCATGGTGGGACAAGCCACAGCAAAGCTGCTGCATGGTCTGCGCGGCCCGATAGGCCCTGCGAGGCAGTAAATTTCCAGGCACCTTGACACATCAATATAGAAGTACCATCTGTTACAGCAGAGGGAGATTGTCCGAGTCCTTCAGGGGAAAGCGGCAATCCAAAAATGAAAAGCGTGCACCGGCAGCCGCTGACAAACATAGTTAAGGCTCGGAGCGGAGCTGGCTGGCTCCAACGGCGTGGCCCTGACGAATTCCACCACGGAAGGTCTGCCAACAGCCCTTCCTCACTTAGATGAGATGATCGTATCCCCTATTACCAGCATTCTTGCACCTCTCCCCTCCATTAACAGCACCTCCAGCGGGTACCAGGAACACCTAAAAGCAACAACGGCATCCAAGACGAGCTTTCCCACAACCGGGTGTTTGCTGCCCGCTCGCAAGCCTGCGAAGCCATCCCTGCCCGTGAGCAGTGTGGCTGCGAGATGGCAGTGGTGCCAGGAGCGGGCGCCGAGACTCTGGGACGCCTACCCCTGCTCCAGACGGCAGCCCATCTCCGCCTCGCGCACCCTTACCTACAAAAGCCACGGAGCCAGATGAGAACGAACTATCTAAAAAGCTAATGACGTATCCCCAAGGAAGCCAAGGCGATTGGCATCACCTAAGCACAGATTTTATCTGCTGGACAGGAGGCACGATGAGCTCCGCGCACCTTTCCATGCGTGGCACCCGCTCTGCTCCTGTATTTGTTGCATCGCCTTCTCATCCCACCTCCTGCACGCAGCCCTGCTGAGGTCAGACCGTGGACAGAGGCACCCTGACAGACAAGAGGGATTGCAGATGGACAGATGGACCAGACAGCACCCCAGCTGTAGACCTGCACGGCGCCAGCCTCAGGATGCTGATGGAGCTTCGGCTCTGTCAAGGCGGTCCCCCGGGACGATCACCGTCTGACTGTCCTCCAGCAACGCACCCCTAGGACAGGGCCGCTCTCTCCCGACCTGAAAAGGGAGTCACCCGTGCCAGGGGAAAGCCGGAGCGTACCAGAGCACCCTCACCCTCCTGGCCTGCTGCTGGCCCTCTCCCAGCTCACAGCCAACATCCCTTTCCCATCCCCTGACTCCCAAACCGCTAGTACAAAGTGACATGTGGACACTGGTGCTCTGGGCACAGATGCGAGCCTGTCCCCCTCCCAGGCACAGAAATACTTTCGCACCTGCACAAAAAATCACCGCTACCGATAACCACTATGGCCCCGATGCTCCCATTTGGCAACCACCAAGCCACACGAATAGACACATCAGCCCTAAAGCCCTTCCATCAGCAAAGGACGCCGACACAGCGAGCCGACGTGGTGGCAGGTCTCGGAGGGGAGAACGGTGCCTCCCGACCCCCCCCGGCCACATTGCTGAAGCCGTGGGGGCAGGGGAAGTGCTGCTGTGCAGCTGGCCACCCAAATCCGACTGGAAATGCCCCCAAGAGCCCGGAGGGACGTGTGGTGCGGGGACGCCCATGGAGAGCGTGGAGACCCCGCCAGACGGCTTGATACCCTGCCGTGACGGCAACCATTGCCTGTGAGGACACCGGGACTCAGAGAAGGACGTATAAGGACCTCGATTACATTTCTATAGATCCCGCTGGCCAGGCTGTCAAGAACAGCAACTCAAGGGTGCACCAGCTGCACCTCTGGGGGGACTTAATGCCACGGGAGGAGCGGGTGGCAGCTGGGTCCGCAAGGCGACGTGGCCAGCAGCAGACAGGACCTGAGCGCCGGCAGGCAGGATGAGTCCGGCGGCCAACATGACCCTGCAGATAAAACCTACCTCTGGCCACAGCCTGTAAATACGGGTACGGCTGAGACACAGGCATGGCTGCCCCGACCAGCGTGTGCCACCACAGCTGCCACGGCTAAGATGGGCGCAGCTCAGGATGGGTGCTGGGCAGGGAGTCCAAAAGCTCTCCCGTCCCCTCTAGAGCCCTCCTGGTCCCCGAAGGGCCGGGTCAGATAGCCCTGCTAATACCTTGTGGCCTGCCAGAGTGACTATGGGTGCTGTTCCTAGTCATGTACCTGTTGACGGCATCCTTTCCCTGGATGACCTTCGGTTCTTTACATTTACCTCCCCCTGCCGTACATCCCCTGCACAGCCAATATCCCGTAGTTACAACAGCCTCTCCTCGCTACATAAGAAACGACGGCCAGGCAAACATGCGAACAGCAGGAGAAATGATGTCGGCGGGGCTGTCGCTCGGGTGGGGAGACGGAGCGCCGTCGCCCGCTCTGCCTTTCGCCAGGTGAACGCTTCCTCGTGCGCAGTTTATAATAGCTTGCTTCCCTGAGCAGCTCCCGTTAGCCCACATGCACGTGGCTACACGCCTGATCGTACAATAGCTAAGGAAAATGGGCGAGATGCTCCTCGATCGCTCAAGGGCAATAAAGCCGTAACGGGCAGAGGCCCCCATGAGTGCGATACCTGCCCAAATGAAGCAGCCCTCGGCTGTCGTTAGGACGGGACACGGATTCCCATGGGGCTGCCGGGGTTGCACCGTGGACAGACGTGGCCGTCGCCCGCTCTGGAGGTCCTCCCCAGTCCCGAGACCGCTCGCGGGACAAGGGTTGAGATGCTCGGCTTCCAGAGTTGCAGGGGGGAAAGTGATACGGCAACGCACGTTCCCTACCCCCCTTATGCACGGTCCTGCCTTCCTTGTAAAAGACTACGACTGCAAGTAAACTGAATACAGAATAAATCTGGAGGAAGCGAGGAGCGGCGCAGTCTCACCGGAGCGGCGAGCAGCCTGCGGAGGATTTTGTTGACCCGCCTAATACTAATCACAGGCAAGTTCAGTAGGCCCAAAAAGACAGTTGCACCATAATTTCTTGTTCATTCGGAAAGCCGGCGAGAGAAATTGAATGCAAAAGCGATGCCAGTAAATGCAGTAACACTAAGCCCGTGATTTATCTCCTTCCTTTACCACTTCAGACCCGAACTGCCTGACGTGCTGATCCACGCTCCAGGTCAGGCCCAGGCGTGTGCCAGTTTCTGCTGCCACTCGTGGGGACCGTGAGACGCCATCCCTCCCCTCACCCTCCCAAACTGGGGGCTGCAAATAGCCCTGCAGGGCTGGCTGTGGCATCACGCTTTGGGGACGCTGCCGTGTCCTTTCACGCTATGTGCAATGCTCGGCAAGTCCCTCGCATGCACAGCCAAGCAATCTCTGGGGCTCTCCCAAACGTCACCGGTCCCGGCGGCTTCTCCGGGTGCCGGATTTGCCCCTGCTGCTACTGTGCAGCCGGCCTGTCCGGGGATGAAAGCGATCGGAGAGTTTGGACCTTGCGAGCCGCTACCAGACACTCAAGTGTGAGGAGGGATGGCCGCTGCCTTGTCCGGGGGTCCGTGGCTCCGGCCCGTGCTGGCGGGGACGCCTCTTCCCTGCTAAACTGCGCGGCAGAAGACGGCACGTTGGTAATCCCGGCGCGATCGCTGACTACGCGTGACGCTGACGCGTGCAACTGCGCGCGGGCTGACTCATCTCCTGGCCGCTCCTCAGCACCGATCCCTACCGGAGGGGCTCACCGCCACAGCCCCAGACTATTTTTAGCTGCCAGATCGTTACCGCAGCACGCCTCGGAGCGGAGAGCCTGCGTGAGCACTGCGGCCGACAGGCGCGACTGACGTCCCTCCTCCACGTCATTAGCTCCTAAGCCATTAAAAGAGACCTCTTCCTACAGCTTCCGTACAGTGAGACGACAGACGGATACCTATGGGCTCTTCAAACCGCCGGACGACAGCCACTTGCCCAGCTCTACCTGAGGAACGGGTGATGCAGGGACGGCCCTGCCCGCAGAGGGGCACGTCTCGCCTTCGGCACTCTGTGGGGAGGCGACAGCCACCATAGACACCGGCCTGCCTATGGCGGGCCGTGCCCCAGCACCACACTTAACCACCTCTTCACCGTAGGCAGGACGGAGCCGTCAGAGGCGTCGCCGCGCAACGACTCGCTAGCATACAGGAAGGCGGCACAAAGAAGGCAAATGTGCCGAAAGTGGATGTTTTGCCTGGGCTATCTATCATCTTCGCGGATGAGAAGCACGGATGAGAAGTGCGGCCGGACGGCGCTGGTGGCCTCCGGTCCGGCCCTGCGTGCCTGCTGAAGGCGCTGGCAAGACAAGATCTTCCCAAGAACAGCTCCTGTTGGGGGCTGACGCCCTTAAAGAAGAGATGCGGGCACAGACCCGTGAGCCAGCTCCCGGCTGGGGAGAACCTGCTGCCAGCTAGAAATGGATGTGTTTCCCCGTCTCCCATTCCTCTTTGGCTTCAGGGCATGGGGGGGGAGTCACGAGGATGAGCACGGTAACCCTGCACAAACGTGCCTTGACATCCCGTCTAGCCAGCAGGGGAAGCAACGGGGGGCAAGGAG